ATATTGTGGAAGATCTGAACTTTTTTTCAAAGCAATCGTACTGCTTAGTGACAAAATATAAAGCGCGTAAGCGCCGCGTCGCTGTCTAACGCTAAGCATTGATACGGAACCCATAGGAATGTTAACAAAATGTATACTTATTGTTAAAATCTCTATAAAATATCTGATAATTTGATGTGCATATGTCTAATGATCATTTTTGACCGCCAAATGGCTCATTTTTTACTTTTTTCTCCATATCTCTGAAACCGTTAGACTTACCTTCATGAAAATTTTATCGATTCTTCATCTTGTCAATACAAGTGAAATGTTTTTTTAATTATTCAAATCGGACGCTCCGTTCTTTTAAAACTGAGTTACCGTTTTCGGCACTTTTTGTCCCGTATCTTCGGAACGGCTAGACCTGCTTTCGCCAAAAACTAATCAGCAGTCTCCTTATCAATACGAATTGAATGTTTTTTGAATTATTCAAATCGGTTGATCTGTGTTCCCGAAATCGTCGACGAAAATTTGTATCCGCACATACATACACACACGTACATACATACAACCACATACACCACACACACACATACATCCATTTTTTTTAAGGTATGCCAAAATGTTCAGAAACCTCTGAAACGTAAAGATATATAAAAACTTTCATTTTGATTTTTTTTTGCGATTACTATACTTGCCCTACGGGAAGTTAATAAAATAGTTTCAAAAAGAGAATGGCCAACTATAGAGTTGGCTTCTGATAAAACTAGATTCATAGTTCTATATAAATAAGAAAATTACATGTCTTCACAAAATATATTTTAAAATAATGCCAATTAGATTCTTGTAGATTATCTGAAAGTTCTGCTGATAACTCGATTTAGATGAACGGTAAACATTTTAAAAAAATTTCTCAGAGCTTTAAAATGATATTTTGATAGATGTTATTGATCTCAACTCAGTGAAAGATTGAAAGAGCAAGCTTGGATGTATCAGATATGATTATGATTTAGTTTCTATTACCTAAAAGTAATCGTCTCTTTTTTTAATAATCGTCTCTTTTTTTAATAATCGTCCTGCAATCAAAAATTGTCTTCACATAGCAACAGGTTAAAACGGGTATTTTTAATAAATGATAAAGTATCTAAATTTTTATATTTTTCAAGATTAAATAGATTTAACTTGGTCTGTAATAAATGTACAATTTCTTCTAGACACCTAGCAATAATATTAAAAGTGTTGGTTTTCCAGTCATTTTAAATATTGCTCTGTATTTAAAATGACTTCGAAAAGTATAAAAAATAATAAAAATATAAAACATCCGTTAGTCGTGCTCTGAATTTTTACAATAATAACACATTCAGTAACGCAAAATTTTACGACATGAATGCACTGTTAGGCCTGACTTAATACAAGCTATGTTACATGAACCGAAAAAGTAACAGAGATAATTTCAGAGATCCATATATTTTCAAAACTCTAAAATAATAATATAACCATTTAGTTATATATTACATTTGTAGTAATGTAGACACTCGCATTTCTATAAAATTATTCAGATATTTACAGATTTAAGAAATACTAAATTAAAATTAATAATTTTCTATAAGAATTCATGATTGCATTTACAAAAAAATTATAACTTGATTGCCAAATAACTTTCTTTCCAAAAACCACCTGAATATTTAATAATTTTTTCTCGTTGTTTTATAATGCTCATAGCATTGTTAATCAAACAGATCAGTATGGATACTAATTGGAAGTTAAATTGGTTCTTTGTATATTTCGATTTTTCAGTTATTGCCAAATTTTCAATTAGTAATTCATGTTACAATAATAGTTTTTCATTAATTATTTTGGGTTGTATAAAATTACAAATTTATTATATCCAATTTCAATACAGTACTACAAATTCGAAAAAAAATCTAAAACAAAATTGAAAAATTATACTCTATAATATAATTATAATTTATTTGGTAATATAAATAATACATTTATTTATAATAAACAAATAAATAAATATTTAAATACTAATTTTTCATTTTGATAAGTTTCAAAAATAGTTTTTTTCGATCATTAGTACCTCGCCTAACTTACAAGAGAATGACGAACTTTTCCGCAGGAGTTATTTATAATTTACAACGCTGCCTGTAGCTTCAAAATGACAAAGAAATTCGAGCAAATTTTAAAAAATATTCAAATATTTGGCGTGACCTTTTTAAAAGGATCTAGGTATGTAGATCGCGAATATTTATGACTTTTCACTGTTTATGATCTTTATGGTTATGAGTTTTAGGGTAAAATGAACTGGAATGTCTTTTGGGCTGCAAAACGTTACAAACGCAGCAAAATGAAATATAGAATATTATATTACTCGTGAAAATACAAAATTATTTTGACTAATTACTTGGAGTCATATTTTTGTAATGCATAATCAATGAATTGCATTTCTCATTAACTTCCCGAAGGAGAATTTTATGTTTTCATCAAAATATCCGATTCGCTATGTGAACAGATTTTTGCCGTAAATCGACGTTTTCTCAAAAACGGCTGAATTTGGATATCAAAAATTTAAAAGCCTTTCGATGTATTTCTATTAAGACTAGCATTTTTCAGTTTTGTGCGACGATCTGCCGAGCCGTTTATTTGTAATTTGACAAAGTGTTAAATTTTTCGGCCACATTTAAGCTCATACTACCAAATTTGATTTTAAAAAATCAAAAAATGTTTAGAAGATATTATTGAGAATGATACTGATTAGGTTTAGTTGAAACTCTGACGAGCCGTTTTCTTGTAATTAACTGTTGAAATACAAAATTAAACCGATTATTATGGAACTTTTTTGGCGATATATACCATGGTCTTATAGAACTTACTGAAATATGGCGGCCTTGCGACAATTAGTTTAATTTTAAAAATTCATCACTATCTTCAAAATTCATCGATAGAGTACTTGGTCTAATGAACATACTAAACCATTAAAGTACTACAGAAACTGGTTCATTAAAAAGTATTGATTTTTGAAAACTGCTTTTAGAAAATACTCCGGGTTAACGCGATCGTTCGTTTTAATTTTACTTTAATCAGTCTTAAATTAATTTATTTTTATAGATTAAGCCGATTATTTACACATATCGGGAAGTTCATGTAACTTACTTCAAGACAAAATACCAATACCAACTAGTTTGTATTATATTAATAAAAGAAATAAACATTCGTAGTAACAATTCAACAACAATTTTTATTTGAAACTTAATGTGACTAATTAATAGTATAATAGCCTTCATTCTCCCTAAATAAATTATTTAATTGTCTCAAACTTCAAAATTTTATAAAAATTTCTTGATTTTGTTACAAACTTTATTTTTTCTTAAAATGAATAATATTAGGGAGCTTAGCCCAAGAAAAAAAATATATTATCCAATATATTATAGAGCCTAATTAAAAACGTCTTATTTTATGAACACAATTTATTTATTGTTCTAACCCTAAAACACAACCCGTTTTTAGGTATAATTATTCAGTTATTGCATTTTATTACGTTTTTTGAACGTTTTACGACTTAAATATTTGGTCGTGTTGACTTCATAGCAATATCTCTAAAAACCAAACTAGAGTAATAGATTCTAGCAGTAAAACTGTAAAGTAATAAAACAATAAAACGTTCCTGGTCAAAGCGGTTTAAATGATATAATTATATGCTAAAAATAGCATACCTGGCAGTATATTGCGAGGTAGTAACCAAATTAATCAAATTACATTTCGAAAATTAATGCGAGAAACTTCTGGATATGATGAAATATAGATATGATTTTTTTTTAAAAAAGGTTATTATAATATATATTTGAAATTAAAATGAACTAGTGGTGTGTATGGCATCGTGCCTTAAGGCAATTGCTGGAACTTCCCGTACCGTAACGAGATGTTCGAGAAATATTAAATGTTTTCAAATAGATTATTATAAATATTGTAACATGTCTAATATTTATAAGAAATATATAAACTAAATTGC